TCTGAAGCAGACGCCCAAACTTTGTTTAGGGGTTTCTCGAGCCTCGACGTTGTCAAAGCTTTCTTGCCAACAAGGAAAGCTATTGATTGAAAGGTCACTAGTTCAAGTGACCAGTTTGATGACCTTACTTGGTGATGAGTTGATCCCGCCAGGTATGGAGAAGCTAGCCATGGTCAAACAGTTTCGATTCTCTCCGTTGCTCTCTTTATGGTGTGTAGTATGTTTTTACTCCTTGCAATTGGTTTGTAAGGAGTCTCTTATCTGCGACAGGTCCGGCCAACTCAAGTTTATCTTTATTTTTAATGTCAAAGTTATTGCAAAGGCTAAGTGTTAAAAGTCATGCTTAAAGTTTTAGTTCTTATTTAGTATGTTATTGTAAACTCTGATTTTATAAATACATTTGCTTTTGTCAAAAAGAAAGAAAAAAAAAAAAAAAAAACCTATATGTTCATTACATTTGTATGGTATTTAATAAACATTCCTTTCCATCTCTCTCCTTCATGTTTCTCTTTTTCTCCACCCATCTTTCTCTCACATTTCAAAAGAATTTTTAGCAAGACTACAGTGATTGTGTCATGGATAATAAGGAGAATACATTAAATTGAAGCAAAGATTGAAAATTAAATATGCATATTTTTAAAATTAAATGTACATTATTCTTGTTAAAACGTGCATATTATTAAAATTATCTGTGCATTATTATTAATGGAAATGTGCAAATCGTTTGTAGTAGTGATACATTTTTTTAAAAATTAAATGTGCATAATATTGTGTATTCTCTAAATGAGCAAGGTATGTCTATTTATGTTGAAACTAAAGTCAATGATTTTCATACTCTATCTTTGCTAAGTTATAAGATAGATGACTTCAAGGTTAAGACATTGTTTTACGTTGTGAATAATATTCGCATATTTTTCAACGTTATGAGTTTGAGATTGCGATTCGGCAATGAAGCGTAGACTGTAGACATACTTATTTTTGGGCTGACAAGTTACTCATCATCTCCAAAATTATTTTCTCGCCTCTAAACTAAATCAAAAGTTAAACATTGAATATCGAGAAAAAGAGACAATACAGAGGGAAAATGAAACTAAAAAAAGAATATGTATATATAATTTTTTTCAAATTAAATATGCATAACTTTAGTATTAAATGTGCATAAATTTTGGTCTATATGTGCATTTTGTTGCAGAATGAATGTGAATCGTTAGATGCATTCTCATTTTATGATCCTTCTAAAAAAAACCCTAATAAAGCATTGTACAAAAACGGGAGTATTTAGATACTAACTTTGACCACTTTTAATTACTAATATACAGTTATACATTTTTTTTTTTTGACGGGGATAACTATTATTATTTCAAATAGATTATGCTGATGTCATCATTGTCCACATATCACTCTTTCAATAAAAAATTTTTCATTCTAATTGCAAGGATGATGTCATCTTTTTTTTTTTTTGGTAGAGCTACCATATTTAACATTTTGAATTTAGAAGCTTCTATATTACGACTACAACATATCAATTTTTCCTAGAAAATTGAATTTTTTTTAATAGCACATTAATAAATTACCTCTACTTTAAAATATATATTAGACGACGTTAAATAGATACTATATCATAATTTTAATGAAAGTTGAATTGTGAATTTTGCTGGATTTGGAAATTGGATATTCCCCCTAAAATATAGACTTTTCTTTGGAAAATCCTTCGTAACATTCTCCTTACTCGTCATACTTTATCTACTAGTAATATTTTTGTCCTTAGTTTTTGTGCGCTTGTTCTAATCGTTCTAAAAATCAGGATCATCTTTTTCCCTAGCCTCTTGCCCATTGTCTATGGAACTTTGGTCTTCTTCTTCTGTCCTTCAGTGGCTTGGTCGCATATCCCTTAGATTAATCAGATTCATTATATTTTTTTTTAGATTTCTTAAATTACTTCCCCTAGACTCCTTCCTAAGATAGCAATCTTGTTTTGGAGTATTTGGAAACATCATTACGTAGTAATTTTTAAGAAGTCTTCTACTAATGTTCATAGTATTTTTTATTCGAGCTCTATGTTTAAAGAATGATATAGGAGTCCTGGTCACTTCCTAATCCCATCCACCTTCCTACTAGGACAACACCACCGTCACCTCCTCCTACACCCCCACCTATTATCTCATGGCCTCCTCCCCCTTTCGGTTTTTTGTAAAGTTAATTTTGATGGCTCTGCTAATCAAAGTTCTGCTATTGCAGGTGTGTTCATTCGGGACCACGTGGGTAACCTTAGCTTGTTGCCATTCGTACGCATAATTATCCTTCCTAGCATAAGCTCTTCACAATGGCTTTCTTATTGCTAGGGATTTTAATATTTTTGATATTTCTATTGAAGGCGATAATCTCACAGTTATTAATATTTTGCAGGGTCATTTTAGGTGTCCGTGAAAACTTCAAATTCTTATGGTAGGTGTCAAGGCTATTTTGGATTCTTTTTAATCTTTTAGAGCACTCTCAATGGTGAGAGTTTTTTTAGCTCATGAACATTTTTTGTGAGGAAAAAAAATGCTCACAACTCACAATGGTGAGTAAAATGAAAAACAGGTAAAAATGCTCATGAGCATTTATTAAAAAGCTCAAAAGTTGAGCATTTTTTGCCATGAACAGTGTTGCAAGTGGGCCCCACACGCGTCAGAAAAATAAAAAAAAAAAAGCTGACTCTAACATCAAAACGACGCGTTTTGATGAAGCTGCCTCAAAGGCGCGCCTCAAAACGCGTCGTTTTGAGTATCAGAAAAAAAAAAAAAAAGGGAAGCTGACGCGTGCAGTTCGCTGGCGAATGAGGACGCGACACGTGGCAGCTGGCAGCAAGACAACCAATCAGAAAATACTAGCCGTTTTACAGCGGTTATTTATGTATTTCCCATTTTCAGAAAAATATATTTTGTAAAAAAAAAAAAAAAAATTACCAACGGTCATAAAATTAAATTCTCTATAAATAGACATGCATTTTGATATATTTTGATACAATTTCAAAAACACCTTAAAATCCTCCAAATTTTAATTTTCTTAAAAGTATTTTAATTTTGTAGAAGAATATTGCTATTGCAATTCATCCATATTGAGGTAAAAAAAAAATTATTTAATTTTTAAAATCAGTTAAATATAAGTAGTATATTATATGTGATTTTTTTAAAAAAAAAAAAAATATTTTAGGCCATGTAATTATATTTGCAATATGTAATTATTAAGAAAGTTGTTTATATTTTGTCCATAAATTTCTGAATTTGTTGTTGCAATTAATTAATGGTAAATTTTTGTTGCTATATATAAATGTATTAACTTAATAAAATTAGTATATATGTGATTTTATTGAAAAAAAAAATTATAGGCCACGAAATTATATTGCATTATGTACATGTTCTTAAAGTGTTGCAAGTATTGGTTAATTATTTTCTTTAACATGTACCTGTAGTTATGTGTTAAAATTAGTATATATGTTATTTTGTATGGCATGTAATGTTATTGCATTATGCAATTGAAGAAAGTTGTTGATATTTTTTTGGATTTGTTATCATTTTAATTTGTTTTTTGAGTAAATGTTTGTAACGATATTGATCTTTTGTTTTTTGGTGCAGAATATTTTAATGGATCCAAACAACCCAAATTTCCGTCAACAACTTTCGGGTTTTAGTGATGATTTCCTAACTAATCCCGAGTTTCAGTTGTTCTTGCAAAGAATGGGCAATATGTCGACGCAACCACCTCCACTGCATCAGACACCCACTGAGGTTCCCCAACAAAACCCTGCTAATGAAGATCGTACACCTGAAACTGATCTTGGTAGTAACACACTATTCGATGAGAGCGAAGAGGAAAGCGTACCAGAGACGCCGCAGTATCCTCCTCCACCAGTGCGCTTGTTGGAACCCAACCAGGTTCCTGTACGAGCTACCCGTATTTGGTCTGTGGCGGAAGATGAAGCTCTGATTGGGTTGTACTTGCAGATTAGCGAGGATGCTATTAAAAGTACAAGCCAAAAAGCAACTACCCTATGGCGCAATGTACACGCAGCATACCAAACTTTGCATACGCAGAAGCCGCATATAATTCCGCCAAGGCCTATTAAGTGTCTCACGTCGCACTGGAGAAGGTTGGCAGCGGACACACTGCAATGGATATCTTGCTATGATGAGGCAGGTAGACTTCCGGAGGGAGGGAGTGGTTACAATGAAGCTGATCGTATGAAAAGTGCGGCGAAGCTTTTTCATGTCGCCCAAGGTCGCAATTTCACTTTTCCTCACGCAATTGAAATGCTTAACAAGGATCCAAAGTGGAGACCGAAGGTGAGATGGTCAATGTCCTTGAAGGAAAGAAAAGCCGCTTGTGATGCCGAGGAAGAAGGTAGTGCTGGAAGTGGGAAGAGGTCCAGAGATGATGTAGAGGATGAAACCCCTACGGATGGTTTTTCATCTGGCGGTTTACAACGACCTGAGGGTGTCAAGAAGGCAAAGGCGAAGCGTAAGGGGAAAGCAGTTCAACAGAAAGTAGTTCGTCTGAGCTTAGCGAACGAATGAAGGAATTCGCTACAATTCGCGAGAGGGAGGCCATTCTGAAGGAAGAGAGGATCAAAATTGAAAAAGACAAGGAACAGAGGAAAAGGGAGGAACTTGACATTCATAAGATGAAAACCTGGTTTGATATGGTGCAAGCTCTGAAGAATTCGCCTACGCCACTCACTCCCGAAGAAGAGTCGTACAAGAATTTTTTACTGGGTAAATTACAAGGCCTTTAAGCATGTTTGGTTTTAGTCTTTTATTTATTAAGCGCAATTTAGTCTTTTATTTTTAAGTTGTATTAGTTGTGTGGTTAATCTCAATGTAAGATGTACACTTGTATTCTGATTTTCCAATATTGAATGACAAGTTGTTTAACAAGTTGATTTAAGTTTCCATACCGACATAATTACAATAAATCTTCGTCATTGTGTAGTCACATTTTTCTGATTTCACTTTATCAGAATGCTTTACCTTTGTGTCATTGATACCGACATAATTACAATAAATCTTTGTCATTGTGTAGTCACATTTTTCTGATTTCACTTTATCAGAATGCTTTACCTTTGTGTCATTGATACCGACATTATTGCACTCAAGACTTGTCACTGTCAACTAGCATAGTATACCTATTCCGTGGTTGAAAATTTAATTCCTGTACTTAGTGTGGTCAATCAGATTTGTAACCACATATTCATTTGATATTTTTGCTATATATAGTAGACATGGCACATATCCACAACCACACCCCTTCATCAAATAACAATAGTAATACGAGATGTATTCTAGACCATCATCAAGCTCAAGTTCAAGCTCGTCTTCTTCAAATACTGAAGAATATGACCAACTTGTTGATGAACTCTTCACATACCAACCCCCATCTGTCCTCATGCCCCAAACACAATCCCAACACTCTTCAAAAAAACCTAGAGGGGGTACGAATAGAAGAGATAGGGAAATTGGACATGCCAGGTTGTTTAATGATTACTTTTCCGATAATCCCGTGTACAACACCACCCAATTTAGAAGAAGATTTCGTATGCAACGACCTTTGTTTGTACGTATAATGAACAAGGTCGTTGAAGGTGATGTGTACTTCCAGCAGCGTAGGGATGCAGCTGGAAGGTTAGGTTTATCACCTCTGCAAAAATGTACAGCAGCGATAAGAATGTTAGGCTACGGCATGGCTGCGGACGCCGTGGATGAATACGTTCGGATCAGTGAGTCAACTGCTCGAGTTGCTCTTCAACGTTTTTGTACCGGGGTCATTAATCAGTTCGGAACCGAGTACATGCGAAACCCTACAACTGCTGAATTGGCCAGAATTATGCATCAAAATGAACTGCGTGGATTTCCAGGCATGATAGGCAGCATTGATTGCATGCATTGGGAATGGAAGAACTGTCCAACGACATGGAAAGCGCAGTACGCCGGTAGGAACAAGAAAGCAACGCTAATACTGGAAGCCGTTGCAGATCAGGATTTATGGATATGGCATTCCTTCTTTGGGATTCCTGGATCTTGTAATGACCTAAATGTCTTATACCGTTCCCAGTGTTCGATGAGGTTCTGCATGGTCGAGCTCCTCCGGTAAATTTTACCGTTAACGGCCATGAATACAACATGGCATATTACTTAGCCGACGGTATTTATCCGAAGTGGGCAACTTTTGTTCAGGGTATCACAACCCCTCAACTTCAAAAAGATAAATTGTTCGCTGACCACCAGGCTGCTGCTCGAAAAGACGTTGAAAGAGCATTCGGTGTTTTGCAAGCTCGATTTGCAATAATACGAAAACCGTCACTGGCGTACGATGAGGACATACTGCGAGACATAATGAAAGCATGTATCATTATGCACAACATGATTGTTGAAGATGAGCGCCACAACTACACTCGAGCCGAAGTTCTAAGAGCCTTCTACGAAGAAGATCAACAAGAATCAACACCAGCATCAACATCTACAACGCCACCGTTTGAATTCAACGTAGGTCGACCTACCAACTTTGACTTCAACGCATTTCTACAGCGAAAAGCTTCCCTCCGTGACAGAGAAATTCATCTATCTCTGAAACGTGATTTAGTCGAACATATTTGGCAACGATACGGGCCCCGTAATTAGGGAGAAATTAGACGATGTAGTTGTTGTGTTTTTTTTATTTCCTAAGTTTAATTGCGCATGACGTTGCAAATTAATTGTTCTCTAATATTGTACCGCTTTTAAAATAAATAAAAAATTATGAGCTTTTTTTTACAATTATTTATAATAACATAAATAATTTTACGATAAATTTTAACGATAAAAAAGAAAAAAATAAAAAAAATAAGTTACACATAATTAAACTAGTTTTTATTTATTTGGAGTAATGTTAAAATATAAATGAAATAAATAAATAAAGAAGTGTTGTGTAGGAGAGAGAAAGTTATGGTGGGGTATTGAAAAAGTAAGAGAGAGATAGTGGTAGGTGAGCATTTTTTTTGCTCACCATTGGGAGAGGAAATATGAAAAAAATTTGCCCATGAGCAAAATTGATTTGTTGAGAGAGAAAGTGGGTAGAGAGAGAGTGGGTGAGCATTTTTTTTGCTCACCATTGAGAGTGGTCTTAGGCAATATATATCTACCAGGAAGGAAATTGGGCAACAAACTATGTTGACTCTCTTGTCTATTTTTGTAACCCTTAATTAATTATTGCTTTAAAGGAGTTTAATATACTGCTCATACCAACAAGATATATGCATCTTTTCACTACTAAAACTTAAGGTTTTTGTGACCACCTCTTACAAACAGAAAAAATGGTCGCTAAAAATAATTGTGACCGTCAACAATCGTAACGCGGTGGTCGTTATTTACATGGTCGCAAAAAAAACATTATTACGATTGACAGTCACAGATTTTTTACGACCGTTTTTATTAATTTCAACGACCGATTGGAAAACGGTCGCAAATATTACTAGTTGCGACTGGTTAAAGGTGCAGTCATAAATCTAAAATTAGCGATCGTCATAAGCGGTCACTAAAAGTTAAAAAAAAAAAGAAAAAAAAAACGCAGCCACTTCCAAACTTCCTGTACTTCACAACCTACCCCACCACCAATTCCCACCAAAACCACCTTTACCCACTACCACTGCCCACCCTAAAACACCACCAGTCACCGCCCTCTACCCACCACTGCCCTCGCCCAGCTTTACCCACCACCACCCATCGTTAACCCGAAAAAACATATAAATTTATCAAAAAATTAAACCCACAAAATTAAATAAACAAAAAATACCCACAAATTTTCGAACAAAAATTACACAAATCAAACCGTAAATTGAACAAAAATTAAATTAAAATCAACAAAAAAATTCGAACATAATCAAACGGTCATACCCACAAAAACTAACAAAAATCGAACAAAATCAAACCCACAAAAACTAATAAAAAAAACTAAACCCACAAAAATAAAACCCACAACAAACAAAAATCACACAAAGTTCGAACAAAAATCGAACCAATACGAACAAAATCTACAAAATTCGAATAAAACTTCGAACCAAAATTCAAATAGAAATTCGAACAAAAATCGAAATAAAACACCAAAAATCGAAAATAAATTCAAAAACCAAGGAATACAAGATCAATGAAAACCCTCAAAGAATATTAAGAAGGAAATTCGAAAACAAAATCAACGACAACACCTTAACCCATCCTAAATATCGAACAAAACTAACGAAAACTCAAAATCAAACCCAAAATAAACGAAATTCGAACAAATTAAAAACTCAAATAAATTTTGAACAAAAACAAAATAAAACAACAAAAATCGAAAATAAATACAAACAAATAAAATTTTTAGAAAAAAAAAAAAACCTTTCCTAATTTTTTTTCTTTGGCGTTATATGATCAAATTCGACCATGAAAATTCGAGATTTGGAATTTTTATGGTCGAATTTGACCATGAACACCGAATTCATTTGTTTCTCAAACCCTTATACCAAAATTCGAAAAGTTACAGAGGGAGGTGAAGAGGCGTGAGAAAAGAGAAGAGAATAGGGTTACAAATCAAAATATTCCTCCAATTTGTTACAGATCCGAAATCATAGAGGTATTTTTCTTGATTTTTTTTTCAACCAAAATGCTGCATTTCGAATTTTCTATTACGTCAAATTTTTAAGGGGTAATTGAAGAGGAAAATGCAAGTTTTGATCGTTAAATTTGATTAAGAGAAAGGAAAGAGAAAAAGAGTGAGAAGACAGAGAAAGAAATGTGCATGTTGAGCGGCGTTCAGTATTAGGGTTAGGGAGCCGACCTTTTATATCCTATTATTTTTTTTTAAAAAAAAATTAACCGATTGCGACAGTTAAAAGCGATCGCAAAACTACAACCGGTCAATAATCGGCCGCAATTTGCAACTGCCAAAGACGGTCGTAATAGGATTTTTTATTTTAATTTTTTTATTACGAAGTTATTTTATTAAAAATCAATATTTAAATACCTTTGCGACCGTTTTGATTCTTTAGCATGAAAACGGTCGCAAATTTGTGACCGCATACAAATCGGTCGCATATTTCATATTTTGCGACCGTTTTCTTGACGGTCGTAAAAAAAACGGTCGCAATTTCACCGAATTTTAGTAGTGTTTTTTAGGGAGCTCATATGTTAAGATACTTCTTAGTTAAGCATGCTTGATGAGAGTAGTCTTAGGATGGGTGACCTCCTGAGAACTTTTTTCAAGGTGCACATGAGTGAGGACAAAATGTGTCGGAAGGAAATGTGTTGGTCTTTGAGGATTATTGTTGGCCCTTGATGCACATTTCGTGACAAAAATGGTATAAGAGTAATCTTGCGACCGCGTGCAGATCGTGGATAATAAATTCTATATCAGTCACCTAGTGTGGGAGAATTCTGGGGCAATATGGCGGTATCTAGACTAGATGTAACACTTTGGCTACCAAGTGTCATTAGGCGTAATACCGGGGTCCTCGGGATTCCAGGCGCAACGAAGGCGTTGCCGTTTTTAAGTGGGGGTGTATGTAAAAACCCTCATGATTGCTTTAAATGAGTTAAATATACAACTCATACCAATAAGATGCATCTTTCTTTTAGGGACCTCATATACAGTATATGATAAGATACTTCTCAGTTAAGCGTGCTTGGTTGGGAGTAGTCTGTTTGGGGTCGCGGTGTTACAATTTTATTTCGACTCATCAAAATATAGATAATACTTTAGATAATAAATTTGATTATTTTTACTCCTTGATAGTTTAGGTCACGGTCTTGTGAGAAAATGTACCTAAACTCCATCATGTATCTTACATTAAAAAAAAATTTGTAAGATTGGTAAAAAGTATTAGCAACTTATTGAATAAAATAGATTTGAGTAAAGAAATTCAAAATGAAATTAAAGGAGAAATTGTTATAGAGCCGATGAAATTAGATCTTTACCCCTATGATACATTGATACCTATACAAGAGTCTATAATAACAATAACTAAGTAATAACCATTAACATCACTGCTCTCTATGTGACAACTTCACATAAAAACATTTTCCGCCAAAATGATTAATAATGACATTAATTTTTTTCTCAGTGTCTGATTAACTACAAGATTTCCTACACAGTAATGAAATTGACATTTTTATTTATCTTTATGTTCCTACAAACTCTACATTTCCTCTTATAATTTATTAACTAGTTTTGGAGCCCTGGCGATGCCTCGGGTTATACATTGTAATTTAAAACTTTTTGTTTTTTTTTTTTTTTTTTTTTTTTTTTTTTGTAATCAAATTTATTGTTTATATTGAATTGTCATTTCTTAAATATTAATATTTTGTATTCAAAAGAATACATAAAAAATAACTTAGTTTTGTGGTAAAACACTTAGTTTTAGATTTAGAGGTTGCGTGTTAAAATATTATGGACAACATTTTTTTATTGTAAGTGCATGCCATGGCGTAATGATTGGTTTACATGACACATGAGTTAGTGACGTGGTGACACGTGGACGTTCTTATAAACGCCTTTTTATATATTAGTATAGATAATTGTACGAATTTGAGTATTCAACTCCTTTTTTAAACATTGAATTGTTTGTTAAAAAGAAAAGTCACTAAGCTAATTTTGAATCATTGTCTTATAAATAAGAAATTTTATTTAATGTATATATGAAGTACATTGTATAACATGCAATTAGAATATTTACACTAACATAATGTCTTTCATTTATCCCAAATTATCTTAATGAAAGTGTTAACGATTTATTACTTTAGGTTTTTGTTTATAATCCAAATAAATGAATAAAATTCAAATGTTAAAACTGTGCACATGAGACTAACCTAGTTAAAATATACGAGTAAATGAAATACCCTTCTTTCTTCTATATTCCATCATTTATGACAGTAATGTTCTTGCTTCTTTATTATTGTCTTAATCGATCATTTAGTTACTTGTATAAAATTCATTTAATCTCCCCTTAAAACACACAGTATTTGATACGGACTAATAAAATAACTCCCTTGTTTACTCTTAATAATCAAGGGTATTCCCAACATTAAATTAATATTGTTAGATTTGTACATTTATTTTTATGAAATTTTTATTCATAATTGTATTTTCTAATGATTAACCTTTCAACACTCAAAGTCCCATGTTAACGATTAACACGTCTCTTTTTTTTTTTTTTTTTTTTTTTTTTTTTTTTTTTTTTTAACAAATTAAAACGTCTCTACTCTCTACACAACAGTAAGTTATTATTTCATAAGTATTATCTTAGAATTTGATATTATGATTGATTAAATAATACAGAGTATCTATATTCTTATTAATCTTATAGAGGGTATCATTACGTTCTTATTAATCTTATAGGGTTTATGTAATATTACTCTAGGATCTCATATAACTCTTAACAATTTTCTTTCCTTCTACTTCAAAACACTTAAAACGAATACACGTGAAACACAAATTAAAGTCACCCTACATAGATCTTTCCAATCCTTTGTACCAAAAAAAATATACTTCGTATATATCCAGTCATTTGTCGTGAAAATCGTTATACAACTGGCGAAGGAGCATCGAAAAAGCAGATGCACCTTTGAAACAAAAAACAAAAGATTAAAGACTGAAGAAGAAAAATCATAAAATGTCCTACAATCAATTTTATCCATTCAAGTACATACTGATTATAATGACTTGTTAAAACTCATTTTCCAATCAATTTAATGGGACCATGCACTACATAAAAGTTGCATGAGTTAAACAAGCAAGAATCAATTCTCTAATCTTTAGGTTGGTTGTATGCAAAGTTTTGCA